GAACAATTATTATCAATAAACTACTCAAAAAGTTAGCGGCTCGTTACTAGCCATAAGGATTAAAACATATTACCAAGTACTTGACTATTCTCCTTAGTTCTGATTCCTAGCTACATTTTACAATTAATTTGCTTCTCTTGCGTGAAATAACGCACTTGATCCATAAAAACACCTAATAAACTGACACGATCCCGCGCTAGTATCAGAAGTACAATACCCTGTCTCTTATTAATCAAGATTCAAATATTATGTTCAATTCGGACGCAAAACCAAAGGCCATTCAATGTAAGAAGCCTCTCTTCATTTATCAATCCAAATAAGCTTCACGAGCATAAGCAAAAAAACTAAACAGCCACAAATTTGATACTTCATTGACAATACAAATGGAATTCTAACCTGACACCCCAGATACGACCTCAGTTGCTGAAATCCTGTAAAAGGGCACCCCGGTCTCATTAGCAATGGCGTGAGCCAACTTGGTCTTGCCACAGCCAGGAGGGCCGTGCAAGAGAATCCCTGTAATCGGCCGAACTCCCAGCTGCCGCAGAATCTGAGGATGGTAAAGCGGCAAAAGCACCTCCGTCTCAAGCTCCTCCAGTACTTTCCTCATCCCTCCCAAATCCCTAAACCTCGGCCCTTCACTATTCCCCTTCACCTCCACATCGGCAACCGAGCTCGAACCCTTGGATTCCCTCTTAGATTCAACCGCTAACTTCTTCCCTGCTCTGCCGCCGTCAATGCCGCTCACCAATCGAACCTTCTCGCGGCTGGGAAGCTCAAGCTCCAAATTCTTTTCCTTATCCTTCTCCTCCAATTTCGCAGCAGCGCTATGAGCTTCTCTATAGGAATCTCGCAGCATCGACTTCATTAGGTCGAATTTCGGCTCCAATTTCTCTCCGTAAATCGCGTCCTCCGACGTTGAAACGGCTCCATCTCCATCAACAGAGTCTTCCTCTTCCTCTTCATCCTCGTCGGACGTGGATTTCTCCGACGTTGACGGCCGCTCCTGATCGCTCCGCTGAATCCTCTGGAGACGAGCCTTCTCCATCAGACGCAACCTCTCTTCACCATCGTCGTCGGCGGACCTCTTCGGCTTCTTCCGAGCACCGATCAGAGCTCCATCATCGTCTTCACCGTCGTCGAAGAGCAACGGCGGTGGGGACCGGGATTGCTTCTTTGGGTTAGGTTTTGGGGACGCGGAAGAGGAATCTAGGGCTTGTCGGACTAACCTGGCGAGGACGGGCTTCTTTTGGCGGCCGATTTCGTTGTTGTTGGTCTTCAGGTGGTCGACGATTTCTTCGACGGTGAAGGAATGGAGGTTCTTGAAGGATTTGAGACAGAGGCGGACACGGTTTTGCATTGAACCGCCGCCGCCGAAGCCTCCTCTTCCGAGCCTCCTCATCTTTCTTCTGTTTCTGTTTCTCTCAGTAGATTGGAGGGCTCTTCCTCTGTATTGAGTTTTTCCTCAAATGTAAAAACCTCGCCTCGCGGTTTGTTCCCATTTTCCGAACGGGCCACGGACACTGCGAAAATTGTGGGTTGTTTTTTTGCAACAAAATTTAAAAAAAAATTAAATTTAAATTACAACTTTATTTAAATTTATATTTTTTTAAATTTTAATTTTATTCAAGTTACAACTTCAACTCAAGTTATAACTCAAATTTAACTCAAAAATTACACATGTCGTTTTTGGAAATCGGTTGTGTGTTTTTTTGTTTTTGTTTTTTTTTAAGGGGAAACATTTCATTGTAAAAGAAACAATTACACAAAACGTGAGAAGTCTCGATTACTGATGAGATTTACTCTAAATTAAAGACTAAATCCACCAATAAAAATACTATAGCACATAAGTGAAAATAGGTACTAAGACTCAATGGGAAAAGACTTGCTCGGCAAAGAAACATCGAACATGACCAAAACTCGTTTAAAGCGACCAATAGTCCGTTTAGCAAAAAAAGAAAAAGCCACAAATAGTTAATAGATTAACTCAGTCGACCGAGATCAACCTCATGTAGAGGGAACATCAACAACACATATAGAGGAAGCTCTAGTCAGACCAAACAACATACACCGTCTGTAAACAACTTACCAGGGTGGGAAACACAACCAAAGCCGAAAGGTGGGGAAACCACCTTCGTCATTACAACGTAAGGGTGAGCACACGTCGCCTTTATTACAACCATAACAAAAAACAATAAAGAAAAAATTGAGATAACACCACGATAAAAGGAGGGCATCTGTTGCAGCCACCGTTCAACCATTTCCCTTCGGAGATCAACATCGTATCTGAAAATGCGATGAGAACTCCATCCTTTACCCGATTTGGCATCTCGCAATAATGAACCCATCTCACTCATGTGAGCCTCCTTGGACCACGCCTCGATCCTCCAGATCTAGCGTCCTCAGACCATAACCTCCCCGCACAAATCTGACCAGATCTAGATCCAGCTACCTCTAACCACGACGTTCTCAAACGGATCTCGTCGACATTGCTCATCATCGATCCTGACTTCCCCTCACCTACGCAACACATGTTTGATCTTCCATCTAGAGTCACTTCCACGAGCATCCACAAACCATGCATCACTCTCTCTTCGCTGACCGGAGCATAGCAACCCACCATGTGGTGGTGCCAGTCTCTAGCCTCAAAGGAAAGGAGAGGCTAGTGCAAAGAAATTCCATGATGGAACCCTATAAAACTCAGAAGAAAAAAGAGAGAAGAGAAATGCCAAAGACACCCCTAGAGTTGTGGAATGGTCAAAAACTTGTTTTGAAACATATTCGCATATGAGGGTGTCTCGCTCATGTGATAAAGTAAAAGACTGGGAAGTTGGAACCAAGATCGGAAGTGTGCATCTTTGTAGGATATGCATCATAGACAAGAGGAGGATTGTTTTATAGTCATGAGGATCAAAAGGTATTTGTGTCGACAAATGTCATGTTTCTAAAGCATGACTATATGATAGATTTCAGGTCAGAAGCAAAGTAGTTATGGAAGAGTTACATTCTGATAGGATCGGACCACAACCGGCAACAGTTGTCGGAACACAAAAAGATAAGACCAATGTTCCTAATCAGACTCCTGTGGCACATCGCCGTAGTAGAAGGGTAAGTAGGTTACCTGACCGGTACACCAGGAAAGCCCAGATTGTACCGGGAAAGCTCATATCGTCACTGCTGAAGATGGTAAGAAGGATCCATTGACCTTTAAGGCTACGATGGAGGATTCTGATAAGGAAAAATGGCAAGCAGCTATGAAATTTGAGATGGAGTCCATGTACTCAAACTCAATCTAGCAACTTGTAGATCTAGTCGAAGAGGTAAAACCCATTGGATGCAAGTGGATCTTCAAGAGAAAGAAAGGAGTGGATGGAAAAATTGAGACTTATAAAGCAAGGCTTGTGGCTTAGGGCTATGCCCAAAAAGAGGGAGTTGACTTTGAGGAAACTTTCTCACCAATAACCATGCTTAAGTCCATTCGGAAACTCATGGCCATAGCAACATATTTCGACTATGAGACATGATAGATGGATGTCAATGCAGCTTTTCTGAATGGCTATCTTGAGGAAACTATCTATATGGATCAGCCATAGGGTTACATAACAAAAGCCCAATAGCAGAAAGTCTGCAAACTGCAAAGATCCATTTATGGATTAAGCAGGCTTCTAGATCATGAAACATCACGAGGCTATTAAGTCTTATGGATTTAATAAAAACATTGATAAACCTTGTGTCTACCAATATAAGAAATAAGAGAAGGTGATCTTCTTAGTTCTTTACGTAGATGACATTCTACTCATTGGAAATGATGTGCAATTGATGATAGGCGTAAAGAAGTGGTTAGCCAACCAATTCCAAATGAAAGATTTAGGAGAGGCAAGCCATGTTCTTGGGATTAACATTATTTGAGATCACAAGAAAAAACTGTTAATGTTATCTCGGGCCTCATACATAGATAAGGTACTTATCAAGTTTTCGATGCAAAACTCCAAGAAAGGAAATTTGCCTTCTAGACAAGACATTTATCTTTAAAAGGAGTAATGTCCTAAGACTCCACAGGAGGAAGAGGATATGAGATGGTATCCCTATGCATCTACAGTTGGAAGCCTCATGTATGCCATGATGTGTACACGACAAGATATCTACTATGCAGTGGGAGTAGTCAGTCGCTACCAATCCAACTCAAGATTAGATTATTGAGTTGCGCGAAAGTGTATTCTCAAGTATCTTAGGAGAATGAGAAACTATATGTTGGTATATTTCGGAGAAGATCTGTCTCTCACCGGATACACAGATTCTAATTTCTAATCAAATAGAGATAGTCAACGGTCGACATCTGCATCTATGTTCACTCTTAATAAAGGAGTCGTGGTATGGAGAAGCGTAAAGCAAAAGTATGTTGTTGACTTTACCATGGAAGCTGAGTATGTTGCAGCTTGTGAAGCCGCAAAAGAAGCTACATGGCTAGAAAAGTTCTTGACTGATCTGGAAGTTGTTCCGGGTATGGATAAGCCAATTAAGCTTTACTGTGACAACGGTGGAGTGGTGACTAATACAAAAGAATCTAGAAGACGTAAGAGTGATAAACATATAAAAAGAAAATATCACCTAATTAGAGACATAGTATAGAGAAGCAATGTAACGGTTTTGAAGATCGCATCGGAAAACAACCTTGCTAACCCGTTCACGAAGACATTGCCACTGAATGTATTCAATAGACACTTAGAAGGATTTGGGATAAGAGACATGTCACACCTGCTTTACGACAAGTGAGAGATTGTTAGGAATGATGTCCTAGAAGCATGCGATGTAATGAGATATTTATTATTTATTTAATAAAAAAGTTTATTCATTATTTTATGCGCATATATTATTGAATATTTTATAAATATCACTGAAAATTTCATAATTATTTATGTAACCTTAAATATTGTATATAAATATTATATGCAAAAGGATAATATTTAAGGATAATAATCAAAACATTGTGCGTAATGACTTTAATTAAAGTTTAAAATCTTTAATTAAAACATTACTAATATATGTAATTCACATTTAGAATGGAATTTTGTTATCTGCACTGTTAATATGATAAGATATTGAATGAGTGTATTATGCATAATGAGATTGTGTGGAACCGGGACACAAACACAATATGAATTTCTGATAATTTCCGTTAAGCATAGAAAATCTAATTGAGTCTATCAATGGTCATATATAGAATGATCTTAATCATGAGTTATTCGCAGACTCATATTTATGGATTTGTGTTTTTTGATTTATTCTTTACGGATTTTGAGATGTTGAGTATTATTCCTTACATTTTGGAGACATGATGAAGTGAGTAGCTAAAAATGTTAATACACGAGATGAAATCCATTCCTTTTTGAGAAAGAAGCAGATAAATGATTCTCTTGATGATTGATTCGGTACTAGGATTAGTAGCAGCTCCAATTTATGAATTTATTTTATGAATCACTATCCATTAGATAATCAATGGTACTCAAGGATAAAGATGTAATTAGAGAGGTTAACGGATTTCACTTAGCTCTAATTATTTATGGAGGATTGATCTATATGTAAAGACTATATCATATGGACACTTTACAGTTTAGAAGTAAATTATATCTATAGTTGTGAGAGTCCAATTCCAATTTTATAGTGGAGTAACTTTTGGAATTAATAGAATTAATTCATTAATTAAAGAATTTTAATTAATTATTAATTTTATTGGAGCTCAGAATTATAGGTCCATGAGTCACCACGTTGTCCTTATAATCCTACTAGACACTAAGGGTAAAATGAGAATTTTAAAATTATGAAATTCTAAATAGAACACTCAAGAATAATTAATTGTAAAATTGGAATTAGAATTCAAATTAAAATAAGTTTGACTTAAATTGGAATTTGAATCCGAGTCTAAATTGGACTACAGGATAAAGGAGAATTTTTTCTCCTTCCTTATCTATAATTTGCGCCAACCACATGGGGAATATCCTTGTGGTGGCCAGCCCCTATGGATAAGAGAGAGGGGATTTGTTCCAAAATCAATTAAAAGTGAGAGATAATTATCAAGCTTTATCTTGGAGATAAGGAAAAGACTTCTTTTGAAAGTCTAACCACTACTTTATAAATCAAAGATTGCAAAAAATTAGAGAACACAACTTTTTGTAAAAAGTTTTTTGTTATACACGATCCGCTAGATACACGCTTCCGCATAAAAAATTGTTTTCAAAACGAACAGCTTTATCTATATTCAGACGGCAACGACAAAGATAAACCTTTAAAGAAGAAGAAGAAGTTGAAATCAAAAGTTTGAAACTTTTTTGAAATCCTCCCTCTTGGTCCAGGCGGCAAGTTGAGGAGTGCTTGCAAGAAGTGTGGACAATAGCATCTTGCCTCTAGCAAGTATGGTATAAGTAACATGTTAAAGCATATTAAATCTTGTCCGAGATCAAATACTAGAGGCATTGGTCAAATGCTTATTTCTCGTGACAGTAGTTTGTCATTTGGCTCTTGTCGGTTTGATTTTGAAAAATGACGTGAGTTGGTGATTGCTTATATTGTTATGCATGGCTTGTCATTCAAATTTATTGAGTACAAAGATTAGGGGAAGTGCTTCAATATTTGTATTCTGATGTGGAATTAGTGTCTAGGAACACTGGTAAAGCTGATTGTCTAAAGTTGTATCAAAAGGAGAAAATCAAAGTATGTTGGATGCATGCCCTGGTAGAATTAGTTTGACACTGGACTTCATTGACTACTGATGGATATTTGAGCCTAACTGACCATTTATTGATAAGAGTTGGAAGTTGCATAAATGGATATTGAAATTTTGTCTCATGCCACTTCCACACACTGGTGTAGCACTATCTGAGAAAATCTTTTCTTTGTTAAGTGATTGGAAAATTAAGGGAAATATTTTCAGTATCACTTTAAATAATGCTGCTTATAATGATGTCTCTACGAATGCACTGCAAAATCAATTGAACTTGCAAGGTTTATTGCCCTAACATGTTGAATTCTTTCATTTGAGATGTTGTGCCCACATACTTAATCTCATTGTGCAAGAAGATTTGAAAAGTATTGATAAGTCGGTTAAGAAGATTTGGGATAGTATTAAGTATGTTAAAGAATCTCAAGAGAGGAAGTAAAAATTTTTAGAATGTGTTAAACTGGTGTCAATGGGAAGTAAAAAAGAATTGTCCCAAGATGTGGTTACTAGGTGTAATTCTACTTACCTTATGCTTCAAAGTGCTATTTTTTATCGACGTGCTTTCCAACATTTGAAATTGCAGTGATTCTAACTATAAGCATGGTCCCAAAACTGATGGGTGGGAAAGAGCTGAAAAAACTTCAAAATTCTTGAAAGTCCCTGAAAACTGCTACTAAAGTTGGGGATGATTACTTTTAAGTGCGTGGCTATGCAAATGTGGCACGGATTTTAAAAATATTGGTCACAATTTAACCCCGTTTTAGCCATAACACGTGCTTGATCCTCGATATAAGATTCAATTTATTGGGTTCTGCTACAACAAAGCTTATGGTCATCCCTTAGAGTTGTTTTCTGACTTGTTTTCTTTGCGTGAGAAGTTGGAATCTCCCGTGCTCTATGTGTTATTACCTCAATACTCCTTTGCACTCGTGTGACTAGTATCACGGCTACAGAAATTACCATTTCCATTGCCGTGGTAATTTCTTGCATAGGAGGATTTTATCGAGGAAAGCTAAGCCTTGCAAAAATGCATCTTCTCATTTGCAGTAAATCATTTCCACTTCCACCACCAAAAAAGATAAATTAAAATATATATATATATATATCCACACAATAAGGGTTTTAGTTTTACAAAATGGCAAAATTTTCACGAACTTTTGACATGGATTGCAGAAATTGAGTAGAAGGAGAAAGTATGGCAATGCGTCAATTTACTGCAAATAAATTGTTTCTTTTTTCTTTTTTTTTTTATCTTCCTGCTATTGAATCGCAGCTACCGAAATTACCACAGCAATTGTAGTTATAGATTTCTTCCTATGCAAGAAATAAAACCCTCTATAATCAAAACTTTTTGCTTATGGCAAATATAACTAGAAGTCAGAGACTCAGAGTAGCCTGTGCAAGCTTGCCACGAGTACACAGGACATGATACTCTAGAATATAACTAATTCCTTTAACAAAGTAACCATGCAACCTCAATCAAGTAATAAAGTCAGAAACTGATCCGAGGACGTCGTACAAACAGCTTAAAAGTTGGGATTCTCTAGATTATAGCCACCATCACGACCACCAAATATAGAAGCACCACCAAAGGTGTAAGGACCACCGCGTTCATAGGCATATCTTACATGGACTTTTCGCCCTTGTAATTCCTGATCGAGATACACAAGGTCAACAATTATTCGAGGTACCGAGTTTGCATAATCTTGTTACATGCACTTGTAAGCATCCACCATGGTGGAGTCCACATCAAAACATGTATATAAGTTAGACGGACCGTATGAGTCATGACACAGACATGACATAAAGAGATTCAATGCTCACCTGACGATCCATGGAAGACACTGCTGAGGAGGCAGAATCTAGATTGTTAAAGGTAACAAAACCGAAACCCTTCGAATTCCCGGTGACTTCATCACATGCAACCTTTGCTGCAGACAAGAACACCCACTGAGAATGCAAATTACATTAAATGAAAGCCACAAGACGTCTAACTAGGGAAAAAGGACAAGGGCGAGTGGACAGCAAAAAACCATACTCACATTGCAAGAAAAAGAGAGGAAAATAAAGGAGAAAAAAGAAGCATATGCAAACTTATATTCAACAAAGCATAAAACTTCAACCTTTCAAAAAGTGCACCCTGGGGCTGGCAATGATTAAGTAGGGAATTAATGCCTCTGGGCGCGAGAAGAACAATCACGAAAATTCTTTCGAAGAACATTACAAATGCTATTTTGACTAGCAAGCAAATAGTTTCGCACCACATACCTCAGTCAAGAATAAAGAATACAATATACCAAAATGCTAAGAATCGGAGTATTGCAACAATGTCCCTTCATATTTTCATCCGTAAGGGACATATACTCAGAATTGATTTATAAGGTTACAGACAACTTAAAAATCGAATGCCCATCATACAAATTCAGGAAAAATAGCGGCAAACAAACATAATGGTAGGGATTATAATACTTTGCAATTTACTCCATGTAGCAAATTATTGGGATTCCAAACAATTTGATGTGTATAAATAGAAATATGGCTTCTTAGGTTCAGCACAAAAATAAAAATTAAAAATTAAAGGAAAAAAAAAAAAAAAACTGATGGAGACAAATATAATCACTGCTGATTGTTGCATCTAGATTTTAAACCCAGACTTCTCTATTGCCTGACCACAACCTTCTAAGCTAAACGGATGTTCATGAGAATGTGTTTCTGTAAGGTAACATCTATAAACTAGGAGAGTTAAAATTAAACTCACCTTCAATAACATCACCGTATCCAGAAAACGCATTTCTAAGAGACTGGTCATCAGTCGCATACGAAAGGCCTAAAACCACATTTTCAAAGAAATTAAGTTTAAGGGCCTATTGCCTAAATAGAATGAAACAACATTCTACAATATCCAAAGAGGGTTTATTCATACCTCCCACAAACAGCCTGGATGATATGCATCGAACAGAATTCAGCATAGATGTCATTGGTGATTGTACGTTCCCGGAGATGCTCTGCCTCAATACACCAAGACCTTTACTACGGAAAGCCATTTCTTGCTGCTGTGTCTCCAAATACCCTGCAAGCAAAGATAGTAGCAATGCATTAAAAGGTGGAAACACAAACCAAGGCATTTTGTCTGATTGAGGTGAGGTGTAAGCCTTGAATGAAGGGCTTTTTACACTTACAACCTTGTGTCTTGCCGAAATAACATACACTCCCTTAACCAAAATAAATTATGTCAACACCGCTTGAGTTTTCGAAAAAATTACAGAGACCCCCTCCATTAGTTGACCGTGACGAGAAACCCTACTTTGACTGTTAAATATTTTTTAAAAAGCCCAAAATCCCCCTCCCTAAATCAGAAAACATTTCCAGCTATATAGTGCTGAAAAAGACATTCTTGCCCTTATTAGCACCAAAAGAATTGATAAATTGATTTTTACACACTTGTAACGATGATTTTCACTCCGATGAAAAGAAAGAAAAAAATTATTGATCCTTTTTTTCTTCAAACGTCCCTTTTAACAGTAATATTATCTGACAATTTATACTTGTAATATTTGAAAATAATAAAGATGTTCTTCATCCACTAAAGTAGCATGCTACATAGAAATATACTGAACTCAAAGTAAATCTTGAAGCATTATATAGTGCAAAGTTAACCACAACATAAATATAATAGTTATATAGTCAAACAAGCCCTAACATGAAGACCAAAATTACATAGCCCAAAATAAGTCATAATATGAAGTTAAAAATTAGTCTAAAATTACATAGTCGAACGTTGTGGTCATATTGCTTACAATTGTGATATTTAAACACACACACAAATCAAACATTTTACAACACCATAATCATACCAATTTAAAACAAATATCAAACCAGTTTCACAAATCTCAATGAAACCTCACAAATATGAACTCCTGATAATATCCCGCTAAAATCAAACTAATAAAACTAATATCAATCTTCCAAAAGAAATAAAATAATCAACGAGAAATCACAAACAGAGAAACACGCAAATTAATAGAATTAGCAATTTTCACCAATATCAACCAAAAATATAAAAAAAAAACAAAATTCAACAGCCAAACAAATTCCACAATAAAAAGAATTCCATCAATTGAACTTCAAATTAAAATTCCAAACACAAAACTTCAATAATCTATAAACCCAACTTCAACTTCAATCAAAAATGGAGAAAAAGAAAAAAAAAACAACTGAAGCTCTTTTCATTCTTATAGTCGACAACTTTACGAAAATCTCCTCCTCCCCATCACTCTACCGCTTCTATTTTCCACAAATACAAATTGGTCTCAATCTCATCTTCACATTTTGCAAGCAAATTATAGAAACCGCAAACCGCCATTATTATCCAATGAGCTAAGATAAGGATTCCATCCCAAAGCAACCCACTTTGGGATTTCTCAATCTATGAAATCCCGTCAAAGAATAGAATCATAGAAGCAAAGGGAAATGAACGACTATAACAGAGACGTTTCCGAAACCCCTTTACAAATTTCACCATTATGCCAGGGTGTACTAATAAAATTTTCAACAACAGAAACTGTGACCAAACTTAGAGATTTTAAATGAATTTTCCCCCTCAAAATCCGGAATTTAACAAGGAGATGATGAAGAAAATTTAGAATATCAAAAATAGAACAGAAACCCCAAGCTTGCAGACCTAATGAAGAAATTAATCTGGTTTCTCAGTTGTTTTTCAACAAAGTCTTCAAGCTTTCCCTTAAGCTTGATGAGTTCTAATGAAGAAATTAATACAAAGATGGATTTTCTTCTCTTTTTTTTCACTTCTAAAGGTTTGAGTTTCTCTAGCAAAAGGAAGAGGCTAGTTCTCTGCAAACAACGAGAGGAAGAAGGGAACAAAGAAACGTGAAAGAAAAGAGTGAAAATGAAAGTAAATTAATAGCATTAGTTTAGTATTTTAAAAACAATTGGATAAGTCTAAAGATCTCAAACGGTGTCATAGAAATAGGACCAAATCATCTTCTCAAAGACCACAAAATCCAAACTTCAAAAAAAAAAAAAAAAAAAAAAAAAAAAAAAAAAAGAAAACCCAACCGTGGAGGAGCTTGGCTTGCTGATGGCTTGAAATCGGCTCGCAACGGCCTCCGGTGGTCGGGGGAGAGGGATGAGCTTTCGCGACTGCGAAAATGCAAGTGGGGAGCGAAGGGCTAATGCTGAGTTCTGGGATGTTTTTGAAAATGCACTTAAGCCATGGGGCACAGAAACTACGGGTGTGATTGGAATTAGTTCCAAAATAATTTTATTTTTTGTATGAAAATTTATTTTAAAATTATTTTTAAAAATGTGTTTAGTAGTTTTATTCAGAGATTAATTTCAGTTTTAAAAAAAATTGAAACTGTATTTGATCGTTATTTTTGAAAACATGAAATAATATTTAAAATAATCATATATTAAATAAATATTATTATTAAATATATTAAATAAATAGATTACATAAACGTGATTACAGTGGAAGAAAAGCGGCGGCAGCGGGGGAGGGGGGGCAGTC